TCCATAATAGGGCTTTTTGCTTGACAACCTGCCTAAAGCCTGATTCACAGTTAGTGATTTTGTTGACGAATTTCTCATCCTGACAGATTCAAATGAGTGGGCTAAGGGCTTGCATACAATTGGTTTTCACAAGTATACGTTTCCATGTCTTTTGCATGTTACTCACCCAGTGGTCTCCCCCTCAGCAGGAGAAATATTTGCCGAAAAAGATTTGCTGGTTGAGAACCTGAATTAAGATCATCTCAAAACACGTCTCAATGTGAAGATGGCTCACCTCCATATAAACACATCCTAATTTTATCCAGTAATTTTTGACACAATAATTTATAGGATATTCAATATATAAGTTAAACATGCCACCATACTGCATATTATTAATATCACCAAAATATTTACAAATAAAGTAACATTGAATTTGTAAATATTGCATTGCCGGTAATGGTATAGGCGCCATATAACTAATGCATACATGTCAACCAAACGGTATTGTCGTTCACAATACGAGTCTTTAATTAACAAAATATACCAACCAGACATGCAGTTACATGTAATATTATTTCACATTGTAACTTTATCACAAAGAAATTAAATTAATATATACTAGTGAATCGACTGGATAAATAAAACATTGTTCATGAATCATGATGACATGTTTGCATGATAACATTCGGTGCTCAGCTAATATTTCGCTGTAATATATTCGATCACAATAAATTTACATACACAATGCAATTTTGCATACAGATACAAGTTATAAATATTAGAAGTCAGATTCAGTCTCACCTTGCAGGTATTAAAGCACAAGCGCAGGTCTATCTTTCTAGACGTTCGTATATGTTTTCTATTCCAACTTCCCTTGCTGTCTTCCCGACCACAATGTTGATTCAACAGTTCCGCTTGAAACTTAACGTCTTAGCGCCAAAAAATTTCAGTTTCGTACTAGAAGGCATGCACGAACAATGCACAGTGAGAAGTTTCCGAACTATTCCCGATTTAACCATTTCCATAATATTGCGCAACAAAAACATGGCCACCGTGTCGCACCGTGTCTCACGTGACAAAATCTCGGCCTGTGATTGGCTTGACACGCTCCACCGTGTCAAGAAGTTACTATATTTAGTAACAGCAGAACCGCGGACCGTGTCTCAAAATCGCAGTCGCATTTGACGAACATTTTCCGAACTTAAAATGATCAACTTCGAGTAGTTCTCGGTTATCGTCGTGGCAAACATTTAATATCCAGCAAGTGCGGGGTTTTCCCAGTGGGTTTTCCCAATGTTTTGAACCTTTTACAGCACAGGAATTACATCTTTTGAGATATTTACGTTTTTATTTCGCGATTTTGTTTGAAAAAACCAGTAATACGTAACGCTGGACCAGGAGTATATATCTGTTTGAAGTTGTAATGTTTGGGACGTTTATACGTATAAATAACGATCGCTTCCGTCCTTATAAACCAATTTAGAGAATATGACGATCTCAAAAATCTGACCGTGTCTCAAGCCACGCTTGCTACCCCCTGGATCCGCCCCTGGACACCATTGCGCTCCGCGGGAACCCACACGAATAACATGTTTTTTATCAAGTTTTTGAAGCTAAATTAAACGATATGTATATGATTACAATGCGCGCTGAAAATTACGGCTGAAAAGTGTAGAGGTATCATATATTCTGTCGAAATAACAGCGGCTAGCGCGCTCAGTTGGCAATTAGCCCGACATCGCACAAATCATTTCGGTTTTCAATCGGGAAATTCCAAATCGTAGCAATTTATGGAATATTTCCGGACGCCACATACACATGAAATGTTTGTCTACCTTTAAGGGCCACGAACATATACTAGGTCTAGGAGATAAAATAGCAAAATTTGAGGCTCGAGCGTTAGCCACTAATTATACAGGCACTGCAGCCGCGTAAAATTTATAGCTCAATATGTTTGTATCAGACATATGCAATCGACATAGTTATTCGCGACGTTCATGATAGGGACTATAACACTTCCAAAGCTAACTGATAAACCTATATCCTATATAACTTAAGACATTTTATCATCAAACAATACATTTATACTCTATAGGCTATTAGACTATACGAAACGGAAACAAAATCAAACATTTACTTGTTATACTATAGATAACAGCAAGATAAGAAATTATTTTATTACTGGAGATTTGTTGCGTTAAATTTTCCTGTATTTATCTAATGGAAAAAATGGGAGAAGTACGAAAAAAATATTAAAAATAAAAATAATATCTTCGTGAAAAAATGCGTTTTTAGCGCATTTTATGACCCACGACTTTACCCACGACTTTACTCACGACACACGACTTTTAACCCACGACACACGACATATAGGGACACTCCGACATTATAGTTAATACGGTTTTCCCCTGAGATTATCAAATGTCCGGCACGTGCCAGCTGATGACGTGTTTATTGTTTACGTTTAATATTTCACATATCTTGAAAGTAATTGATTTCTCATCTCGGTAACGAATGCTAGTGTTTTCATGAGTTGCTCATGGTGGATATGTATCCTAAAGTTTCAAATGCTGTAAAATATGATAGTATGAATATTAGTCTAGAAGGGTCATCTTTTAGAAATTCGTGGCAGGGCGAAATTAGCAAGAAATTTGCCAAGCAATTTAGACGATGTTAGACGTATTTGACATGTTGTGGCCTTTCAACGACTTGAGCCGCATAATAACACCATTTTTAGCGATCTTGTTTGCGTCGTGTGTTTCGGATATTAAGCTTACATGTTTATATCGTTAGTTCTTCAGAAAAGCGCAACAAATGATATTATGTCATTAACATATCAATTTATTACTCATATAAAGCGTAAATGTACGGATACCAAAGTTGTTGTATTTACGGAAGGATAAAATTAACACAACTGGGCCGTGCGTGAAATTAGACAGTTCAACTTTGCGCGAGTTATTTATCGCGGTTTCGCGATATGGAAATAAGTTCAACGCTTGACATTACTTTTGAATACATTCTCTAGAATGGTCATCAATCAAAATTTTACGTTTTTCGTTGTAAAGGTAAAAAAATAAGGTTTTAAACGAGCTTTGCGATCTATCCCACCGCTGACCAGCCCCTTTGTCAGAAAAAACAGCGATCTTTCACAAGCTACCATGGACGAACGGAACGGAATAATGTCTTTATTTTCCCTCACGTACTATGGAATATTTGATTCCATTAGTGGTTAAGCGGGCAAAGCAGTTTATTTACAAACTAGTCGTTCCAGCTCCAGGTTGAAATAACATTGGCATGCATATATAAATGCTCGTCATCATAACATTGGCATGCATATATAAATTTTTACTATATATTTTTACTGAATCTAATTAAGCTACTAATTTACAACAGTTCGGACCATTTTTCAACGGATTGTTTTGAGCGTTTATTTCATTTTGGATGGTTCGCAACGACGACTCAAAGCAGGTTCTGTGCGTACTATTTACAGGAAAGCGCCTGCGCAACTAACACAAGAGACAGGCGTAAGGTTTAGTCAAATATGAATATATTTTATAGCCACATATTTACATAATCTGATAAGTCACGCGACGTGTGTTATAATAATAATAATATTTTATTTTCCAAATATGTTTACAATACATTTCGTAAGTTATATATATTTATGTACTAGTTTACATTATACATATTTGGACAGAGGACCATAATAAACCAAAAGGCTTTTGCGAGTATAGTCCCCCGTGACAAAATATTTAATACTAAAATTAATAAGTTCTCTATCAGGTAATTTTTCGTCAGTTTATCAAGATCTAGAGTACATACTAGCTATTACTATATAGAATTATTAATTAATTACACAAATATATATTGTACTCTATACTGGAAAGAATAATTTCCGTAATCTACTCTATATGTTATCATATAATATGTTACCGTTTTATATATATATATTATATGTATACATATAAATATATATTGTGTTTTATAGCTTGTCTTGAGATAATAATAGATGTATTTTCATTTCCTTTTTGAATTTCGTTTTGGTACTTGAATCTCTTATTTTTTTTGGAATTTTGTTCCAAATTTCTGTTCCTTTATTTTTTACTGAAAATTTTCCATAATTTGTTCGAATTCGTTTTTTGTGGATTAAATTGGATTTTCGTGTGTTGTGCTTGTGAACTTTGTTATTCAAGATGAAATAATTGTCAAAAAAAGCAGGTAAATATCCTTTTATATAGTCATACATAAAAAGGCCAACGCATAGGTTATTAAGTTGATTAAGATTTAACATTTTAGTTTTTTTGAAGAGAGGAGCGGATTCTGCATAATATGAACTAGATGTAATAATCCTAACAGCTCGTTTTTGTAGTTTAACAAGTTTTTTTAGCTTTGAAGAATAGTTATTTGCCCAAACTATATTACCATAATACAAATAGGGGTATATATAAGTGTATTATATAACGTAGTGTTGTTCTCATATTATATTGAAAATAGGTTTTAAACGAGTTGTGTGAAACTGCAAACAAGACTGATGCAAACGAGGATGAATCATCGAGCTGTTTGTCTTCTTCAAACCCCGTGTAAGCTCGCTGGCTAGTGTTCAGGAATGGCGACCATAGTTTTATTGTAACAACAACACGTCAACACGATAATGTGAGATCCCTTGAACTGCCCGAAAAATCTCATACCAAACCCACAAGCTGTCTGTAGGAAACTGCGCGTAAGAACCTATAAAATATATAATATATACAATATCAAATAAATGTGCGCGCACAATATGTTAATGCTGGTTTAATTACTTTAATATGGTTGAATGTTTACAACAACCTTTTGGTTTTTTAAACCAGACGAAACTGCTTCCAGAACGAATTCGTTCAAGCAAACTTCGTCAAATCCAGGGTGATCAAGAATGCACTTTCTGTTACTCTCATCTTCTTCATACTCGTACATTTTATGTCGACATTGGTCTATTTCCATACAACATCGGCATACGTCAGGGTTGACAGCAATGACCACATTAAGACCTTATAAAAAATGCAAAATAGAAGTTCAGAGATGCGTTTTAATTTATTACTCCGGCAAATAAGAACACAAACTTACCAAGACGATACATCAACATGGCCTTCAAAACGATTTTATAACATATTTTCGAGCTGTTCGTCTTCCGGTACAGCTTCCTCGTACTCGGCTACCTCTTCAGGCGAGGCAAGCGGCTCGAGCAATAGTATCATCAAATGGCGAAAATTAATTGTCAGGTTCGCTTGAATTCGCTGTTCATAACAGATGAGATGCGGAAGAATCTGTTTCGGACAAATAGTCCGAAACGTTACTAGATCGCAACGAAACTGGCATTTTTGTTCTTGAAATATATGCGATAGAAGTGGTCCTGCTGGTCGCAATGTGAAAAGTTGAATCTGATAGTTCGTTATAATTGATTTTTTCTATGTACGTATGTAGTGTATTTGTCTAACATTTAGGGATCGCAGTAATTGGCGCAAGCTGTTGCGATTGCCCTGCCAGTTTTTGTGTTAACGTTCATTGTTTGAATCTGGCAAAGTTAATAAATTAAATTGATACTCCACGTTTGCTTACTAAATCTACTTATGCCTTACAATAAGGCACACTCTTCCGATGAAACATCACACTTTATTAGTGTATTAATAATGCGCAATGTACAACGCCAGAATTTTGTATACGTAATGTTTGTGTTACAAAGTAAAAGGCGTGTCCTGCTAAGGTTATTGTCCCGCTAGTAGTAATATTACTCGTAGTTTTCTTGTTTTTGTACAGTGGAAACTACTAAAGCCATAAAGAAAAAACAGCCTATTTTTAATAAGCCTTGCATTTACGGTTATATTAACAAAATATAAATGCATACTATCATAAAATTGAATATCTATTGATTATTTTGTACTGTTGTTAAAGTTAACCCTGGTCATATTAATGAGCAAACCTGAAAATTTCTAAGTCTCACGATTTTTCAGTCAATCTCACGACTTTTTAGATAGCAACTCACTATTTCTACTACCCAAGGGTTGACAGGTCTGGTAACGTGCTTAATTTTTGTTTTCACCCAATTAGCATGAACTCTGTTTTAGATTGATTAAGAGTTAGCTTATTGGCTATGAGCCATTTATTGACATTATCAAGATCATCGGCGTACATACGTGGTTGGGAATGTGTTATGCAATTTGGTTTAATGTAGATAAGAAAAAGCAAAGATAGTCCTAAGATAGTTCCTTGCGGGATACCGCAAGGCAATAAGCGATAACTGGAAAGATGACCATTGACATAACATTTTTTATTGCGGTCATGTAAATAGGACCTAAACCAGTTGCCTGTAGAACCTCCAAAACCATATACGCTTAACTTTGACAGCAATATTGCATGGTCAACAGTATCAACTTCTTGAGGTCTAAGGAAACGATGGCATTGACGTTGCCTCCGTCAATATTGTAAGACCAGTTATTAGTAGCCTTAAGAAGTGCGAAGAGTTCGGAACCCTGACTGGCAATTAGGTAAGAGGTTATTATCCATAAGATAGGCATAAACTTGATCATAAATAATTCTCTCAAAAACGTTCGCCGCAACTGGAATTATAGAAATTGGGCGATAGTTATTTAAATCCCTACGCTCTCCCTTTTCCATTCGTTGGGAAATGTACCAGAGTTAATAGAACAGTTAAAAATTGCACATATTGAATCGGTTACCTACCTAGCACACAACGTAATCGCAACGTTGCGCATATTGAATACAACGTTATCGCAACGTTGTAATTTTGTTCTAAAGAAAACTTTTGTTCCAGAGAAAACTTTCGTTTCAGAAAACGTTTTCATATATTAATATTATGTTACCTACCCCGTACAATTAAAACTGGCTGGTACAATAAATAAATAAATATAACTCACTAAACTCAGTGACATAGCCAGCCCGACAATTTGATCATGCTATGCAAATTTTAAATCGTTATCATTGTTCATTTCTTTAGAAATTGATTGTTTTCACGGTCTATAAACACGGAAATATTTGCATAGCATGACTTACGCCCGTATCTAAAGGTCACTCACACTCGATGAGTGGATGTTCAATCTGAACTTTTCTTGAGTGTCAATGCTGTTTTTGAATAGCTGGAGGGTGAATAGTCACATAGTAAGGTACGACAATAACCCTCCAGCTATTCAAAAACAGCACCGACACTCAAGAGAAGCTCATATTGAACCTCCCTCCACTCATTGAGTCTAGGCTACGGGCGTATTAAATGCCTGGTTCACACTGGTCCTAAGAATCTGGGATTTCCATTGTCTGTGATCATTGGTGTTTAAAATGCATTGTCTGTCGGAAAATAACTGAATAGATCGCTGATAAATTACGACCAGTGTGAACCATGCAGGCTTAATAAATTGTCGGGCTGGCTACGCCACTGATATAACCCTACTTACCATAACTTTTAAGTCGTCGTTCATGCTAGGTTTGTCGCGTGCGACGACATTGTCACGTGTCAAAGATGGTATCGGTGAAGCTGTTACCAATGTTGGTAACATTGTCAGAAAGATTGCCAGATACATTTGTATCTTTGTCCTGTTAAAACGTGTTGTTCTACCTTGCGGTATCGTTGTACTGATTAATTAAAATTCTTGTCTTTCCGCATATTTATGGTCAAGTGTAATAATCAGAAGCCCAGAGGCGATAAAAGGACAAAAATGTAAAATACGGAAATAGTTCATATTTCACAATTTGTGTTATATATTTTGTATTTTTGTCTTTTATATTTTGCATTTTTGTGTTTTATATTTCGTATTTTTATGTTTTATATTTTGTAATTTTGTATTTTATATTTTTGTGTAATGTTTTTAGACGATTAGACAATTTTTTGTTTGATTTTTTTTTAAATTTTTTTAGACGATTTGGGATTATAGGCATTTAGTGCGTAATAGCTACAAATTGTGGGGATATTTATCAACAATGCCTACCAATGTCATGATTAATTACAAGTTATAGAAACATTGTATTTTACTGTGCGAAATGCGTGTCACATATGAAGCCTGAATTGATGTTATATAAAAGTAAAAAGATATAAAAGTAACTGAGCATATTTTGCGATGTGAACTGAGATCGCATGTTGTGTATTTGTATAAGTGTCAATGCTGTGGTGCATTGTATGTTGGTCAAACTCGCCGACACATACACACACGTATCTCTGAACATATGGGTGTTTCACCTTTGACTGGAAAGAAACGTTCTGTTTCAACCATGTCAGGCATACTCGCTCATATCCATAACACTAAACATCAAATTTCACCCTCTGATTTTAAAATCCTTTCCACTGCTACTTCTGAAGCGGATTTACTCATTCGCGAAAGCCTTTTCATATCTAAACTTAATCCTATTTTAAATGCCAACATTAGGTCAACTCCTCTTGACCTATTCTAATGCTTTGCTATAGGTCTCTCTCCAGGCGCCCATTCACTCAACAGTCCGGATCCGCCTTTTCAACATTCGTTATGACCTTGTCCTTGACCTTGTCCTCTTCACCAACGAATGCCAAGGTTACTATACTCGCAAGGCAAATTAAAGTAAATAGGCTTTTCCAAGATTTAAATATATAGTAAAAGTACAGAAGCCCAGAGGCGACAGCATAAAATTACTTTTGTATTTTGTATTTTGTGTTTTATATTTTGTATTTTTGTATTTTACATTTTGTATTTTATATTTTGTATTTTATATTTTTGTGTAATTATAATGTTCTTAGACGTGGGGTTATAGGCATTTAGTAATACAAATTGTGATATTTAAGAGCAATGCATATGTCAAAACATGATTACAAGCTATAGAGACATTGTATTTTGACTGCGCGAAATGCGTGTTACATACTGAACGCTTGTTTAATTAAAGAGCATTATCGCGCGCGCATTACTAAGATACGCATACCGCGAATTCGCCATGCAGACATTAGCATTGCTCCCGTAATAAAGCTCGGTTCAGACGGCGACATTTTCAAGCGCTTCATTTCTTACGGCACAAGTTCGGCAACTGACTTAGAGTTTAGACTTAAATTAGACGCCGCTCTTCTAGATCTGTCGTACTTATATATCGTCAGTGTATTACGGGTTCGGCGCATGAGAAAGTTCGCCGTCTAAAGTAAAACCGAGTCTAAGGCTGTCTGCATGGCGTATTCGGTATGCGTATCTTAGTTATTGATATGCGCGCGATATATTCTTTAGTTAAACAAGCGTTCAGTATGTAACACGCATTTCGCGCAGTAAAACACAATGTCTCTATAGCTTGTAATCATGTTTGACATATGCATTGTTGTATAAAAGTAAAAATTAGCTGAGCCGTGAAACATAATTATTATTAATATAAACTAAGTAAAAATATAAAAGTGAAAATATAAAAGTGAAAATATAAAAGTGAAAATATAAAAGTGAAAATATAAAAGTGAAAATATAAAAGTGAAAATATAAAAGTGAAAATATAAAAGTGAAAACATAAAAGT